AGAGAGAGAGAGAGAGAGAGAGAGAGAGAGAGAGAGAGAGAGAGAGAGAGAGAGAGAACCTGGAAAGGCCCAAGTAAACAAAGTGAACCTGACAAAAAATAAAAAATAGCACTCAGAGTTAGCAAGAAGGGAGACAAGTATCTGTACTGCTGTCTTCCTTGGGGATAATTCTGCAATGCATATTAAAAGCCTTCAACTACTATGTGTCATCTATCTATCTATCTATCTATCTATCTATCTATCTATCATCTATCTATCTCTCTATCTATCTATCATCTATCTATCTATCAATCTATGTATCTATTTATCTATCTGTCTATCATCTCGGTCCCTAAATTCCATGTCTAGTTAGTGATGTGGGCAGAGCTCAGTTGCCAGAATGGTCACTGTAGCTTATTAGTGAAGGATTGGAAGTGAATTACTGAAACAGTGAGAACAACCTAAATTATGGTAGCCCCACTTTTTTGACTACTGTGTGGTCACTAAAAGCCATTTAGTGGAAGGACACTTGAATGGCATGTCTCACCACTGAGGGTGGGGTCGGGCACAGTAGGCTGCTAGCAGTATTCTGTCTCTGGATCTTGATGCTGATTATAGGAATGGGTTCATGAACTGCACACTTATGATAGGGGTGATCAAAATAGACAGTAAATATTTAAATGAAGAGTATTATAATACAAGATACATTGGCATTAATTTCCTTAAAATGCTCCCCACCATTGAAAATACACTTATCTCATCATTCCTGCCTCTTTCTGGGGCAGTTCTGCTAGTCCTCTTTCATGAGTGTCTTTATGAGCTATGATCAAAGAGCTGATGACTGGTGCTTCAGGTTGGGGATGCCTCAGATGAAGTAACAGCAGTACCAGCTTCTAAAATTTATGGACTACCATGACCCAGGCACTGTCCAAACAGTGCTTATAGATGACCCCATTTGAGCCTCGAGCAGCCCAGGACACCATTACAATTCCCACTTTAAAGGCAAGACAACTTTGAGGGTTAAGGACACCAAGTATCTTCTTTAGGATTCCCACCCATGCAGCAGCCTGCAGAGCCCGTGCCCTCTGCTGCTGCGTGACAGGACTGCTAACTGGGGAAGGAAATGTCCCCAAGGAAACATCTGTGTGAGCTTTGGTGGCTGAGCTCTGTACACTGCACTGGAGACAGGGCAAGAAAGAGTTGTTAAAAGATTAAAGATGATGATAGAGCATTGCTCTGTGACGATTACTGGATGTTATTGTTAAGGATAAAGAAAACTACACAGACTTTTTTGCGGGAATACATTATGGAAAAAAATATAGACCTAGGTTTTCAAACCATGGCACCACATTTGAAAAAGTCAACTCAATCACTTGGATCAAAATGTACCCCATCTGCAAAATGGGATTAACACAATCTGCCCTGCAGGTCTGCCGTAGGGACTGGATTTAATGCTACTACACTTGCATATGGTTACTAGGATTTTATCCTGAGGCTCAGAGTCAGACACAAAAGGATCTTTCTGGGCCTCCTGTGGGCAGGCTGATGAGTGGTAGCTGAGGAGAGCAAGTGGGGACACGCACATGAGACAAAATGTGACCGTACTGTGCTGACACTGTTTTCAGATGACTAAGTCCTGCTAGTGAATAGTCAATCATAAACAACGCAGTACTCCTGGAAATGGACGCAACATCAATGAAAAATACCGCCAGAGGAAAAAACAGTAAGCTCACCTCACAAAACATAGGCAACTTTTTGGCAAAATCCACCACTCTGGTGATTGCTGGTGTGATGATTTTTGTAAAGTGGCTGAAGGCTTCCAAGTCGACCTTGCCGCCTTCCGGAGCATTGACTATCGGTGCTTGTCCGATGTCTTCCGGCTAAGGAGGAGAAATGAAGATTTAAGTGAGGAGGCTGAAGGGAGTTCGATTTGCCATCATTCTCGTGTGGCAGAAAATCTCTTCTGGACTGATATCTGCTCAAGTTGCCCATTTCCTCCTTGTTTGTTAACAAACTACATGACTTCTACCTTGTTCACATTGTTTATTTCTTTGAGTAGGGAAGTAGGTTTTGGTTTTGGCTTTATGGGCCACCAAGGGTCTTTCTTGTTCACAGGATTGGCCCTGGCCAGGAAGAGGAAGGGAGAAGGCATTTATGTTCTGCTTCTGTGCGCCTGAAGGGTGGACTCAGGCAGGTGACATTGCTGGTGGTGGCTGTGGTAAAGCATTTTCAGAGCACTGCATGCTGGTGAGTGTGTGGGTGAAGTGGGTATGGTGAGGGCAGGATTAGGGACACCTCGTAACCAGCACCTGTGCATGCTTTCTGGCTTCTGGCCCAGCTGCTAGGACTCAAGTTTGAGGTGGCCTCAGGTGGCACTGAGAGGGGCAAACTTAAGGCTTCCCAGAGGGATCTGAGCTCAACCAATGTGGCCGACCTTAGGCAGAGATGGAAATACCCTAATGTTCACCATCCTGGGGGCATTCTCTGCTGTTTGCTTGCTCAGGAACCATCCATGGCCTTGCTGTCCAAGAGGTAGGGCAGCTGCAAGGGTCGCCTGGGCCCTCCCCAGACCTGAGCTGGCAGAATCTGCCTTTGACCCAGGCCCCAGGTGGCCTGTGTGCACCCTGGTTCCCCAGGTCCCAGAGCCACCCAACTCCACAGCCTCACATTCTATGTGCACCTTGGTGTTGCTCTTGCTAGCCCCTTGGGCTCACTGTTGGGAGCAGTCTTCTCTAATGCTCTCTCATCTTTGGGATACAAATGACTGTTTATTTTGTGGCCTGCTAGCAAATCAGCTCCTGCACACACTGCTCTTTCTCAGGTAATCCTCACACAAGACATGGTTTACAGCTCAGCAAAGCAAAGGTCAGGTGGAGGGACAACATCTGGGTGAGCCCAGCCCTGGGAGTTGGTGGCCCTGACTCCACAGCAGCCTTCGCAGGAGCCCCATCTCCTGCCTCCACTGCAAGGCTTTCACTCCCTGAATGCATTGTGTGACCCGGAAGTAGACTTTCTACTCCTCCTAACACTGCCCTGCTGGCCTCCACAGCTGTTGTTCAGGAAGTGTGCCTGTCATGTGATCACAGTGTCATGTGACACAGCCTCATGATCTGCTTGATGGTGGTCACCTTTTCCTAGGGCCACTGTGAGTAGACCTGAACAAAGCCTGGTCTCTTTCTCTCTCTTTTAAATGTATTTGGGGCAGCATCTCCCTATGCAGCTCGGGCTCATAGTGATCCTCTTGTCTCAGCCTCTCCAGTGCTGGGATTACAGGAGGCACCACCACGCCTGGTCTCAGTGGCCAGCTTGGGATGCCCAGGACAGGGCCTCTGTTTTGTTTTTTTTTTTTAAATGTAAAGCCTGGTCTCTTTTAGACACCCAGCAGATGAAGCTGGGGAGAGTGAGCAGGGGGGACATGGAGGAGGAACTCACACTAGAAGTGGGTGGACCAGGACCAAACCACTCAGGAACAGAGTAGTGAGGACGCTGCCCAGGTCAAGATCCTGGCCTGATATCTTGGCCTCCACACTTTTGATGCACCAGAAGCCCCTGGTTTTTGGGCCCTACTCCAGTGTTTTTGATTCAGTGGAGCAGGGCAGGGCCTCCAAGAACCTGCATTTCTAATGAGTGTCCCTAGGACCCGCTGGCAGCAAGCAGTACCAGCGTGGACAGGCCCAGTGGCATGGCTCTTCCCACCAATCCTGCTTGTACCTCACTTCCATAGAAAGCAGCACGGAAGCCTCTGACTCTCACAAGGGAAGACAGAAGCAGGCAGGCCCCAAGGGCTGCGGGAGGAGTCATAAAACTGGCCTCAGGCAGGACTTTTTTAAAAAACAATTTAAAAAAATATATTTAGGACAGGGTCTACAGGGTCTCACTATGGAGATCGGACTCAGAGTGATCCGCCTGTGTTCAGCCTCCCAAGAACTGGGATTACAGGCATGCGTCACCATGCTCAGTCTCAATTGCAGTCTCATCATGCCCCGGGGGTGGGGCCAGCATGGCACACCAGGGATTGAACTCCACCCACTGTGCTCTGTCTAAGCAGGTGCTTTAGTCTGTTGAGCTATCTGGCTGGCCCCAAAATTCTTTTATTTATTTATTTGGTACAGGGTCTTGCTCTGCAGCTTTGATTCACAGTGATCCTCCTGTCTCAGCCTCTCCAGTGCTGGGATTATAAGTGTGCACCACCACACCCAGTTTCAGTGGCTGACTTGATGCACCTGGGGTTCGGGAGCCAGCACAGCATGTAGTAGCAGGGATCAAACCTGAGTCCTTGTGCTTGCCAGGCAGGCATTTAGACTGCCAAACTATCAGGGAGGACTTTTGTTCCTTATAGTTGAGTGTGTCCTGGTGCAGTGACTGAGTGTATGAAATCTAGTTCCTGTTGTGTTTTCACGGCAAAGGAACAATATTTTGGGTCACTATAGACATGACAGACCCACCAAAGGCTCCAACATCTCTAGATGAAGAGAGAAGGGATGGAATGATGTGCAGTGATGCCCTCCTTTTCGCCTAGACTGAGAAGGTCTTACTACTTTTTCTTTGGCTTCTACTCCTCCCTGCATCCCTCAGCCCCATTGCTGGTCCTTATCATGTCTTCTCAACTTGAGGCTCATTTGCTTCCTGAGTCTTTCCGCAAGATCAACTGATAAAAGGAATGTGGACGCACATTCAGGAAAGATAGCTTGTTAATGCAAAATATGTATTTTAGATAGTGGGAATATTTCTTAGAAATAAAGTATTTAATGTGGTGTCAGTCCAGCCAAATCTAAGGTCTTCTCAGTGAATACTGAGGGGTAGAACCTGTTTATATTTACATGATAAATTCCACATTTTTGGAAATGTCAGTGCAGTAATGCTGATGTTAGTTTTTTCCACCTAGTCTCTGGGTATGTAGGATATTTGAGTCATTGTCTGGGACCTGTCCAAAGATTTGAAAAAAGAAATGAAATTATGTAAAGAAACATGGTAACTTACATTAACCCCTCAGGCATAACTTCAGAAACTTTTCTGTTGAAAATAGATACTAGGATAGGAAAGATTTTGTATATATAAAATCTATGAATCAATACATATTTATATCAGGTGTGAGAAATTATGGCTGAGCAATGCAACCTTATTTGTGACTTTCCTATGGATTTTCCACCTAGAAGGACAGCATGCAATTCAGTATCTGACTACAGTACATATCTGACTATAGCCTTGTATACTGCCACTTGAAACACACTGCCCTTATATCCAGTATGTACTTGGTCAAGTCAGGTACCGGCAATGAGTCTCTGGTGTGTGGACTCACCAGCACAGAACTGTGGGGAAGGCATGATGTCGGCTCAGTGGGCCATTTGCTGTGGCCTGCTCATGGGGAGCTTCCAACACTCACCATGACTCCTTTCCTCTCTGTCCTCAATGGACCTATGGAGCCAGCCCAGCAGACTTCATGTGTCCCCACACTTACTTTATATTTTTCCGTTCTGCTGAAT